CTGGATCGAACCCGGGTCGATCGCGTCAAAATTCCAAAGTCACGCGCTTATCCATCTGCACCACTGGAGCTGATGAATTACAGTCACTTTTAACTATATGTAAATAGATACGCCGTATTTTTTATTCCAGAGTAAGGGCAGTTTATACAATACATTTAAACTGAGCTACTTTAATACCATCTCCGAACTTTCTACCACGACTCTGCTGTTCTTCGGCTGGTTCTTCCCTGTATACGTTGATTGACAGATGTCTCGTCCAGTCAGCGGTGAGTAATCCCTAACCAATGGCGCTGTCTCAAACTATACCTGCCTTTTCCGGTTTGTCTGATTTGTCGTTGTGTTTTCTGACTTGTTAATTTGTTTTCGGATTTGTCGTTGTGCTTTCTGACTTGTTATAATGTTTTCTGAATTGTTGTTGTGCTTTCTGAATTGTTATTTTGTTTTTTAGACTTGCATTTGCGTTTGCAATTTGTTATTTTGTTTTCAGAATTGTGATTTGCTTTGCACTTCTCGGCCACCGTATTAAACTGCTGTTACCTCCTACAAACCTAAAAAATAAAATGTAAAAGCTAAAGCAAATCACAGCTTTAGGCTACTGACACAGAAAGGAAAATCCATATGCAACTAACTAAAAGATCTGTGAACTCAAAGTCGATTTTCATGTTGCCATGATGCATTTATGAAGTACAGGAGGCTGAGCTAATAACTCGTCATAGGCTTATGCTGCAGTGCTGTAATTTTGATCAGCTCAAACATCTCAATCTATCTCATGTGTGTTATGAGACTCCAGAATAACAGTTGAAGTGCAGTCCATCATCTCTAGAGCTGCAAAACAAACCCCAAACAGCTCTTGTCTCACTACTTCACATCCCTTCATTGAAACCATCATCAAACACAACAACTCACAGATGATGCAATACAAATAAAACTGCATACACATAAAAACAGGATTGTTGATACATGGGGGGAAATTACATTAGTTGAAAAAAAACTGTATCATATCCACTTAAAAAATAATCAGAGACAAATGTCTAGACCTTACTAAATCATGACCATCTTAACTTTGGTTAATTCAGACAATGTATGTAGTAATAGTCACTTAATGTCTAATCATAATTTCTAATCTTTCCCCCCCCCC